CTTAATGCACTATTTCACTATATAATCAATAGAGCCCCACCCTAACACCAGAACAGCTGACCCAGGGGCCATGAATTTCACAATTGTGGTAGTGGGCCCAATGCTTATTACAATCATGCCAACAGTTTGACTGCTTGGTGTCCAGGAGTAAAGAAGAAGATTTTTAAAGATTGCATCAATTTTGGTGGTTTTAGCCCCACCCCTCAGGCCCCAGAGGGGCAGGGACCATGGAATTAACAACTTTTGTTCTCCTTCACCCATAGATGCTATATGCCAAAATTTGTTGAAATTGGTTTAGTGGTTTTGGAGAAGAAGTTGAAAATGTTCAAGAGTTAACGCACGACGACTGACGAAAACGGATAGCAATAGGTCACCTGAGTGACTCAGGAATGTGAAATTCATCTATAACAATTCAAAAACAGGAACAGGTTTCGCCCTCCCTTTCTACTGATACTTGTGCATCCTAGCCCTAGCTGTGTGTTACACCCTTGCCCTCTGCCTGGACTGACTCCTACACATTCTGGAAATAACTTGGCGAATAAAGAGGAGAGTATTTGCTGCCATGTTCTCTATCAAAATTGCAAGGAATTCCTTTGGATGGGCAAATGAGGACACCGGCTTTTTCAAAGACGATGGGAATATAAAAAGTAAGTAATAAATATACGAGCTCAGTCCCCCCCCCCCCCCCCCCCCCGAAAATTGCTATAGTTGTACATTGCTACTCAATGTAGAAAAAATCGTAAAATTACTAATTTAAAAAGGATACAAAATAATGAAAATATCCATTGTATTAATAGTTTCTAATGCAAGGAATAAATTACTATGAACTTGTATAAAGTACGACTTTACTTTTAATTTTCAGCATTTCTCTTTATTTTGAGATTTGTTAAATGGATTTAACTTTAAATTAGAGGAGCTGTTCGAACTAACCGCTTGTGTGCCAAATGATTAGCAATTCCACTGCATGTGATCATGAAGGAAGAATTAGAACAAACAGGGACAGAAAGAAGGAAATGCGTTCAAAAATGAAACAGAGGACAGTGATTGGTTATTAACCTGTTAAAGAGTGAATTTGAGAAAAAAAAGTGTATATAGTAACAATAAGTGGAAAAGTTTGGAAATTTATTCTAGATACAAAATTAATTTTAATCTTAAAAATGGCAAATATATTTATTGTTTTAATCATATTCAAAATTATATCCAAAATGCATTTGTTATTTTATACTTTCATTTGCTTCCCTTATGTAGAAACAATAAATTCCATCACTAATAAATCATTTTTTTTCTGATAAAATACAAGAAGTAAAACAAGCCTGATATTACTTTTTATTTATTTTAGCTAACTTGTATTTTCAAATATAGGATTGGAAATAGATTTTTTTCTGATTGTATAGACGATCGGATTAGTTCATATGCAGATTTGTAACAATTAAATGTGTGCATGACTACACATTAGGACAATGTTGGTCCAATATATCTGGCCAACATTGGGCCGATGAGCAAAGTGACATTGGGCCAATGTCATTTGCCAACATTGGCCCAATATAACCGATGACGTTGGCTCTAAGTTGGCTCAATGTTAGCTTACTATCTGGGCCAAAACTGCTGAAAATCCAGATAGAGGAACAGAATATTTTCAGAGAAAACGCCTCCCTCTAACAACAGTGGGTTTGCACCGTGATCCGTTGCCTGGATACGAGAATTTATCCTACCGAGAACTTAAAAATAATCCCGTGCCAAATACAATTCATTATGTGTGGTGTCATGATAGAACTATTTCTTTTGAACACTATCTGTCCATTTTAAGTGCTTAGAAGTTTTTGAGACCAGATTCCATAGAATTCCATAGCATTTATTATTTTAATACAACAGAGAAACAGTTAAGTTAAATTGATGCAAAGCATCAAATCGGCCGCAAAAAATATATTTAGCATTTTAAAGTATTTCCACAAGAAAAAGTCCAAAGAAAAAATTCGAAGTAGAAAAAAATATATGATTCATTTTTATTGCAAACTGTACACTTGCATTATTTTTCTGTGTATTTTTTAATTTAATTTTTAGTGATCAATTGTTAAATATCGTAAGTAAATTTATGGAAATGAAAATCGGACTACACGCGGTAAAGGAGAGGAATATATTATCATTAAATTATTTGATTAAAAAACAAATGCAACAAATACCTAAAAGTGTTGATTATGATTGTCTGAATGCTGACAAAAAGGACGTTCTTGTAAACTTGACATGCTGATACCTTTGAACTTTATCACATGATAATGCAAATGCACCAATGATATGTATCACAATAAATGTGAAGTACAGAGAAAAAAATCACTGGGTCATTTGCAACTGTAGTGCATTCCAAACAAAATTCACTCATTCCTAAAACTTTTACAAATTATTAATTATTTTAGGCATTGTAATTTATATCCGGATACTTAATACGTTTTGTTTTTATATCTTACGCACGCCCATGTTGGGGAGCAGTTCATGTAACAACTCTTTATAAAATCATAATTTAATAAATAGCTGATAAGAAATGAAAAACAAATTAGGACGTAAGAACAACCACTTAGTATTAAGCAAATTTTAAAAACTTTTATTCATAACATTTATGCATGTTATCAATAAGGAATTATTCCATCGAAGCAATGAAAAAAATAACGTCTCATTTCCCCATGTGCACATTCTAACACAACCACAAATAGATCGGCCGCTCCTGCGGCCGATAAAAATAAGATATGTGGATGACGGACCTGAAAAGAACCGTTGCGGGTTTCGCCATTCATAAAATTCCCGAAAACTGGGATGGGCAAGAAAATGGATGTGGGGTGTGGTTTGGAATAGCCGTACTAGACGACAGAGGGGGTATATATTTCTCCGAAACTCTCTTGCTAATGAAATCAATCTCATCCTATAGGCAGCATAATTTTAAGTTAGGACTGAATAAGCATGCAGATGAAGTGAGTTTTATATTTGCAAAAGAAAAAGGCAAAAGACTTCGAGAGTTGGCTAAAATGAAGCAAAGTCAAGATTTGTCTCCAAACAGTTTCAATGACACAGTCGTCTTCGAAATTGTTCCTAAAGGAAAGGTTCTAGATATTCCGGAGGATATTGAATGTTGCGAGATATCCGATATACACCCTGTAGATATCATGTATTCCAATACCACACTAGCAGCCAGGGCACGGCAAGTATTTTACGGCGATTCCGCCATTATAAAAGATACTCCAAAACTTCCGGGAAAAATACCAAAAATCATTCCTCTTGTGTGGTACCGAGAAAAAGAGATGGATTTCATGTTGTATCTCAGTCTTAGAAGTGTAATGACAATACTTAAGCCAGAGAAAGTATTTATACACGGTGATAATCTTTTACATGGTATTCCGATAAATTCAAGAAAGATTCTAGATTACACACAGTATACAGAGAGGTCCCTGACACGATATTTGGTCACAAAGTTCTTTATACTCAACATAAAAGTGACATTATTCGAGCCGATGTCCTGCTCAAATATTGAGGTATTTATATGGACTGGGATATACTCTGGTTGAAGCCTATGGACGATCTAATCGATAAAGGTTACGACGCCATATTTAACTTTGATCACATGACACGTAATGGTTATCCCGATGTTATCAACTTCGGTGTTTTCCTAGCAAAACAACATTCTCATTTTGTTAAATACTGGCAGGACACTCTCGTGAATTACCGTTCAGAAGATTTTTATCATAATGCACTTGAACTTCCATACAAGACTTGCGAGAAGTATCTTCAATACGTACATGTAGAGCGCCATCTACAGGCCATGAACTTCCGTTTGAAGTGCCATCCCATTTTCAGGAATCATTATCATGAGTTTGACGGGAACAGTACTTTGACTGGAAGAAGGAGGCTTACGCTATTCAATTAATGCATCCAGACCCTCCTGAGTACGCCAACGAATCTGCGCTTAAGCAGGGTTACAATAAGTTTGCACAGATTGGGCAGCATATATCAAATCAGAAATATGAATATGACTGATAATTAACTTCAATGTATCATTCATAAAATCAGTCAAACACATGTAATAAAACGTTTTCAGCATTTTTATTTTCATTTTTGGATAATATCCTACTCGATAAGAATTTTATTTACTCAAACATTTGAACATAAAAGCATTCAATGGATAAATTGGCATGATGACTTAATTGGAATAAAAACACAGTGATACAGGTTACACTCTGAAGATGACAGCCATCAGTTCTACCCCGTTCACAGATTTTCGAAGTAGAACGTCATAAATCATTTCAAATTGTACGCCTGTACTTGAGCACTTTTATTACAAATTCAAATATCAATAAAATAATTATGGCACAAATTATACCGGGACTCTCAATAAAGAAGAAGGTACGGTCTCAATACAAATCTGGCCCTGGATTTTTTTTAAATATCAAAATTTTTGAGAGAAATGAAAACTCTTTTTGAATAGCAGAAAGTTCTACTGAATTGAAGAAAGTTGCAGAAGACACCAATTTTCGTTTTTTTTTTCAGACAATATAGACCACATTCATCGCCCTCAAAGATTTTAAGATATGTGATTTCTCAATTCTTTTGTACACGAAATATCTGAAACTTGAAGAAGGCGACGGCTGTGGAGACTATTTTCTTTAGGAAAATAACCCCATAAATGAGTCATATTGAGGCCTCAATTGAATCACATTAGTATTTCCAGAACAACTATCCTTTATGCTTTATACTCTCCTGATTTATTACTTCCATTAATTAAATTAATATTTAAGTAAATTTCAGAACTTTCTGAAAGCATCAAATTTTTAGGGCGTAATAAAGCAAAAAACCGTACCTTCTTCTTTATTTACAAGCAGGAACAATCCATTTTTCAGGACTCCGTGTCAGTAAAGAATTTGAAAGTAAAGAAATTGTATTCTGTTTCTTCACTTACTCACCGCTATTCAACGTATAAGAAAAAATATTTTACATCTTATTTTTGATATATCTAAAACTTATTGTTTTTTGGTCTCGTCTTTTATTTTCTTTACAGCCTCCAGAACATCTGTTAAGTTGGCATGGTCACCGAATTCCATCTCATGATGCTGATAATAGATTCCATTCTGTCCTGGACCGATTACAAACACGCCTGGAGAATTATACCACACGATTACAGAAATTTAAAAGAAAAAATATGTGCTGATACACAACCAGATCAGAAGTACCTAAAAATTATCATATTACATTTATACTTGGTTGATTCACTCATTAACGAGAAATATCAAAGAGGTTTGAAAATAGTAAGAATTGTGTAATACAAGGTTATTTATTATTATTTGTGCATAATTTCCTATTCAAGCACGTGTACAAACTATAATTATGTAAACTTTCATACACATTTGGAAATCGTCATAATTTTTGTACATTCCGCTAAAAACACTCAAATTAACACATTTCTAGCCACTGAACGGCTTATTTGATCAGTTGTTGTTTGACTTTTGATAATAATATTTTTAACTTCATTTGTGAATTTGAAGGTAACTTAATCACTTAGAGGAAATTCATCAGACTTGTATAACATTACCAGAATATTTGTTTAAACTCATTTTAAATCGATTTCAAAGAATAAAAAACAACATCAATTTATGATACGACTGGCGCACCATAGATTCATAGACCACCCTAGCTACATACACCTGGCCTTTGGATAATGAATGAAACAAACATAAACTTCAGTAAAATTTTCAGTAAAAATATGACATGGTCGTAGGAACCGGTGGGGGGGGGGGGTCCCTAATAATTTTGCCAATATATAGAATACTATAGAAAATAGCTACAACATGTTTTTGCCCCCTCAATAAAAACGTCTGATGACCTTTTTTTCTTTTCTTTTCTTTTCTTTTTCTTTTTTGGCTTGTCAAGGAATTTTTGGTAGTTGATAGTGTCCCCTCAACTGAAAATGAATGGCTGTGCCCCTAAAACTGAAATTGCTTCCTTCAGGCATGATGATGTTTATTAATTGAAACTGGAAATCAACATTTGTAATCAACATCACTCTTACGAGGTACTAGTAATTAAATTTTTCCAGACATCGCTTCATTCGCTTGACTTTGCTACCTCTTCTGTGTGATGTACATTTTTTTGACATAATTATATGTGTTCGTTGCTTCAAGATTCTGAAGCCAAATGTTTTTATACAATGCGTCTGTAAGGTGAGATATGTGACCATAACGGTGCATCTAAAATCAGTAGTAAACATCTTATCTGTCATCGTCAGAAAACCGCATTTAATTATGCTGCATTCCTTTCTAAACCAACCACAGGGTTTGGTAACATACGATGTTTCCCTAGCTCGGCCAGTAAAACTTTTTAATTTATTTAACCTGCTCATTTGTCATCAACATTTCTCGTTATACGTACACACGATTTCTACGTACAAAATACGAACGGTTCTACGTACGAACAATTTCTAGAACGAAGCAGGCTATTGACAAATAAGTTGATGATACAAGGACTAAAGTCTATATTTCGCAAACTCTATGGTCGACACAGCGACCTTGTTTGCAAATACAATCTGTTCGACAGGAGATGCCTATTCCTCCCACCTCTGTTTTCAGGAGTCCATGTTGACTCTGCTCATAATTTGTAGTGTGAGAATGGTCACTATTCATTTTCTTCAAATTCACATACAATGTACAAATAAATGAGGATTCGTCTGTCATATGGAGCTTGACCTCTAAGAGTTATCGTCAAAAATGATTGTATTTATTTCATGTTTCCTTGAAGTTCGGAACGGGGCCTGTGCATACACTGTATAAAAAGTTTTTTTTTTTTTTTTTTTTTTTTTTTTTTTTTTTTTTTTTTTTTTTTTAATCTAAGAGATCTTCCATTTAAATCCGTTTTATTAAATGTGCAGGTGTCTTTAAATACATACGTAACAATTAAATAAAAGTCGGCTGTGCAACAAATGTCAGTTAAATGTGTCGAGAAATATTTAACTGATTGAACACTAGGGCAATATTTTATGATGATACCATCAAAGTTGCAAAGTATGGTGAACCACAGATAATATCTTTAGTTTAAGAATTCAAAATTTTGAGTAGAGAGATAAAATGTTCTCATGAAAAGAAAATATGCTTGTGTTTACAAATAGATGAAAAAAAAATAGTCCTTACCTCCTAGCAAACTCCAACGCTGTTCTAATCGGGGACTGCCCAGAAGAAACCTAAATCATTTTCTCTAATGCTACCTTCAACAAGAAGCCTTTCCTCCTAGAGGAACCCCTACCTTAAAGTTACCACACATTCTCTTCTCCAACTAAAGCTGTCTTTATTTGTTTGATTTACCCACCCAAGCTTAAGGTACCTCAGCACCCTTCCTCCTTACTTACCTCCCAACAGAAATCCTTCCCCTTCCAGATTCCCTGAAATCTTTTTCTTAGAAAGAGAATAGGCATGGTGAATGACATTCAATCTTAGGAGTCCGAGCATCGAGGACCATCTCTGCTTTGGACCATAGAACAATTTCTTTCAGAAGAAAATATGAATTAGTTTCATATGAATATCTGAATCCAAGAAAATGGAAAAATTACCTGTGGACAGTTAAAACCAAATCAATAATAAATAAAAGATTTAATTCTTTCTTCGTAATCTATTACTTTTCTTTAAATAACCTGAACTAAGTAAGTGTTTCAACAACAAAAAATGATTTAAACAAGGCACCAAAATGGAAGGATATCCTTAAAATGGAGCATAAACATGTTATACACATATATGTTCAGTACTATATTTAGTTCTGAGGAATGGTAATAGCCAGTGTGAAGTGAGCAAATGAGACAGAAATAAGAAAATCAATGTTGCTTGAATACCTCAGGATCAAGGTAGACGTTCCCCTTGAAGTAAGGCCTAAAATCTTCAACACCCAGAGTCTCCTTGACTACAGCATGTAGGGAAACTCCATGGACATCCAACTGTGGCTTCAGAGAGGACAACCCCATGGCCTCCTATACAGAGATATACATTGCACAGATAGGAAGATGAGAATGTCCTGTACTGCTCCAAGTGCAGTCATGGCTGGGAGGAGATTTTCATGACTTAATGCATGTACGTTAGAAAGTACAAAAATAAGTAAATGTCTCCTGTGCATCATCTCAAGGTCACTCCTTGGCTTGATACATTGAAATAATTTATTAAGAACTATTGAACTCTTTTGATAATAGCTAGTTATAAAAGTTTGGATTAATAGGTTTGATCACTAATTGCTGTGGAAGTCTGGAATACATTTCTTTACTTTCACAATGAATAAATGTTTCAAATGGTTGATGTGTAATCCATGTATTAGTTTGGAAACATTGCTCACTTACGTTGCCCGCGTGGCGCAGTGGTAGAGCGTCTGCTCTAGATTCGCGGAGTAAGGAGTTAATCTTTACGTCGCGGGTTCGAATATATTAATCCCACTGTGGGACGTGGAGACCGGTCCTTCGGATGAGACCGTATAAACTGAGGTCCCATGTCGCAGTAGATACTGGCATGAAAAAGATCCCTCACTGCTCAATGGCCCTGAGTGCCGAGTATAGGTCAAAATTTGCAGCTTTCCATCGGCAAGTGATGGCGTCTCCTTATGAGTGAAAAATTCTCGAGAGGGACGTTAAACAAAAAACAAACATACAAAACACTTGCGGTATACTAACCTCTCTGCACATGTATCATCCGGGTCTTCGGACAGCCATGATAACCACACCATGGCCTTTCCATAAGTCCTTGGCCTACAATTGTATAGCTTTAATTTCTATAAATTGGCAAAAGAAGAATTGATATACTAAATACTTTCAAAACAATCGAAAGCCGGCTGAATACTTTCATTAAATCACATTAATTGCAATGTAATAAGGCATGATTTACACTTTCAAAATCATCATCAAATTCATCTCTCTCTCTCTCTCTCTCTCTCTCTCTCTCTCTCTCTCAAACTCACATTAAAAGTCTTAGGATTGTCCTCTATAGTCTGAAGTTTTCCTTTCTCCAAGTAATCGAGTTTGGCTTTTACTGCAGTCATGAACCACGTGACTGGTAGATTACCAATCAAAGCAATTCCTGCCGTTATACCGGCAAATCCCATCAGTACCTGCGAAATACCCATGCTGCTTTATCAGGTTAGCTGAAGAAAAGACCATGATATCATTACTTACTTACATCTCAATGTAAATACTTTAATATGCTTACCTTACAGTATACTGTAGGTTACGGTACAACTAAAAGCAGGCTTTTTGTAAAGCTAAAAGCTTTACTTTTTATGGATAGGATAATTTAACACGTGACAATATATACGTCAAACAGATTCTCCAATCCAGTGAATGAGCCGCAAAGCATGACGGTCTACTACATGTACGTGTTTACGATTCAACAAACACACGTGCATGGTTTTTGTCGGTTTTATACACAATATTTAATTGCTCACCGGAAATTTTCTACAACTTGTTTCTTACTTCAAAAGGCAAAAACAGAAAGATTAGGTACCATAGACGTTGTTCTATGCCCACATTGAAAAATAATGTTGTTTTACATTAATAATTATGCTTAAAAAAGTCTTTGGCGAATATACGCATACTTGAAAAAAAAAAATTTTGATCAGGAGAAACTGCACATTAGTTTAAATTGGTGTCTTAATCATAGGACATCATAAAGAGATATAGGTTCTTCGTCATTACACATTTTTTATAATTTTGAATAATTATAGAGAAATGCACAAAGTACATACAAAACAGATAAACGCGCTATGTAGTTTGTATGTTGATTGTCAACAAAACGCATCATTTTCAGAACAACCAGAATTTTTATTTACTTCCCGTCTTACATTGTTTAGAAAATCCAAAACAACGCATCTTTTAGCGATTTTTATTTTCAATTTTTTTTTCTCGTCTTCAAAATGTTGGACCAATTCCTCCGGTAAATTTGAAATATTTTCATCTATCATTGCTAAAAGTTGAGTTTTTGTTTGGTTTTCGTCTTTCTTCAGCTCAATTTCGTCCTCCTTCGAAACTGGTATTTTTTTTTTTTTTTTTTTTTTTTTTTTTTTTTTTTTTTTTTTTGAATTTCAAGGGACTAGGGTTTTTATCATTTTTTGAAAAATCATTAAATATCGTCCTCATGATACCAAGCGCAGAGGCGGTAAAATTTTCTACATTCTGAGAATTTTTTGTTTGAGACTGATTAAAGCTTGTAATTCCTCTTTTAGACTCAGGTTGTAGGAAATTAGATTTCCGACTTTCAGTGCGAAAAAAATCTCTTTCTTCTGCATTTTTTTTTAAATTTTCCCTGGCTGTTTTTGTGGTCCGATATACCCGGTATTCTATCATCTTTTTCTGTAAATCCCATAACTGCTTCAAATGCTTTTCTTAAAGTATTACATACCTCCTGTTTGTTTGCAAAACAAACATCATCTGGAAAATCTAAGGTTGAAAATTTTCTCCAAAATTTAGGATGCAAATTTGAAGATTTCTGATTGTGAAAACCTGACAATTCTAATTTTATAATATTTGTCATGACTTCTAACGTTTGTTTATTAGCATTTCGCGATAGCCAAACTTTCTGCAATCGTTGGTTATTGTCAAAGACATAAATAAGGTCAGAATCTGAGGTACTACAAGTAGAGACATCTGGTTTAAGTTCTAACAACCAGTTTTGCAGAAAAGTGTAGCCGTCTGATGGTAACGTGTGCAAAAAAATTTCAACTGCAGTTTTACTGCCTGTGGAGTTGTAGAGTAAAAGCATAGGAGCGAGCGAAAGAGGAGAAATGTAGCGCAAATTCTTTACGGAAATAAGCAAATCAATAGCTAAGCATTTCCGAAATTTGCGCTTTTCACACATTTCATTTTTTTCTGAATTCTGGTTGTTTTGAGTCAAACAATCAATGATTTTTCTAAGAACTGGTGTTTGTTTATTGTAAATTTCATCTAAGGATAAAGAGGATAATTATGTTTTTGACATTATAGCCAAAATTGTCACACTTCAAATTGTTGACATCTTTTGAAAGTATTTCCTCTATAACATTTAATTGATCATCTTCAGAGATTTAACTGTAAAGATTTTGCTTTTGTACTTTGAAGTCATGTATGGTAGTTTCGTAATCCTGCAATTTCAGTTTTAATAATTTTATTTCATCGCACAATTTATGAATAAGGTCCGACGTTGTATCAATTTGACAACCGACATTTTCAGTGAAAATACACGTTTGAACTTCTTGATCACAACAAACATTTGGACAAGTTTCAACTTGAGATTCAACAAAATTAGGCGTTTGCACAGAACAAGATGCAGACATGGGTTCATTATCTATTCCTACATCCAGTTTTGGCCTTTTTTTCTCAGTTTCTGGTGGACCTACTTTTCTCTACAAAATTAAAGTGTAATAAAGAAAACGAACTTTGGAGAGTTAAAATTACAAAGAAAAAATGGTGTACAAGTAACCTGCTATGAGAGAAAAATGTACATGTAAAAGTGAAGAGCTTTGTTAATATAAGCACATGTTTCTGATATAATTCTGAAAATCTTTTGTACAATAAAATTTATCATACGAGGGGGGGGGGGGAGGAGGGGTCACGCTGTTCTCTACAGTCCCACCAAACAGAAAAATAATGAATGACACAGTCAAAATATTTATATATTAGATGTTCTTACAGAGATTCGCTGTATGAATTTTAATTCAATTCTTTATTCTCTTAAAACCAGATAACTGGTCCAATCAATGGTTTCCATAGCAACATGATTCTTAAAATAATATCATCTTTGGATGCATGTAATGAACATTGTACTGGTATGTTATCATAATTGTTACATAGAATTAATGCTTAATTATAGCTAATTAAGGTACTTTTAATTGAGGGATTCCACCTCGATCTCCCATTGTAAAGCATTAAAAATCGTTGCTGGTCAATTGTAAACGTGTACAGGTACATTTGTTTATGTTAAAATGCATTTAAACTTACTTTTATTGTTGATCCTGTGAAAAAGGCCATACACCCAGAACAAACATTTCGACGAATATCTCTGAATCCACATCTTGTTTGACAATTTTCAAAGCCGCTGCCGGCATATGCTTGCGATCCAAAATAATATTAGTCCCATATTTTCTATGCTCGGAAAATGAGAACTGCTTTTGAAATGGCATTTGAATAAATATTAAGAATGCTAGCGCCAACAAGAAATTTTTATGCTAAGCATTCTGTGAATTCCTCGTAAAGAAAACGTCAAAGCGCATTCTACCAGTGTCTTTTCTTCTTCGTTGTCTAATACCGTTCACGGTAGCTCAGTCGGTAGAGCGCTCGCTCCGTGATCGGGAGGTCGTGAGTTCGAATCTCGGCCGCGACTGTTCCTTCGCCATGCGCTCGGCTCTTTGAAGTGAAAGTTGCGGGTCCTTCGAGTGAGACCTTAAAAACCGAGGCCCCGTGTCACGGCAGGCGTTGGCACAATAAAGATCCCTCACTGCTCAATGGCCCTAAGTGCCGAGTAAAGGTCAAAATTTGAAGCCCTTCACCGGTATATGGTGACGTCTCTATATGAGTGAAAAATTCTCGAATAGAACGTAAAACAACATACAATCAATCAATCAATCTTCGTTGTCTAAAGCCAGGGGTATCACGTGAAAAACATACTCATCGCTTCTAATTCAATAGCACATACCTCAGTACCATGTGGTATTTAAATATGATGATATATGGCTTCATGGAAAATATTTTTAAATGTGAGCATAGAAATAAAAGATCAGACATCATTTTCAATATTTATTTCATATATTCCGAAAAAGAATTAAAAATGACTTTCCGAGGGACATTTCAAATTGGTATAAATTTTCAATACGCTGTATTTATAGTGAAACTTGTAGTAGCCCACAATGCATTGCGACTCATTAACCTGACTGGTCTGTCGATAAGAGTAAACAGATAGCTTATTTACCATGCAAATTTATGCCGACGTCATAAAATCTAGTGGTCTCGACCTGTTTCACCATCGACAACAGCAGCGGCCGATGTATTTGTGGTCGTGTTAGAATGTGCACATGGGGAAATGAGACGTTATTTTTTGCATTGCTTCGTTGGAATAATTCTTTATTGATACATGTAACACACATTAAAGTTATGAAGTTATTAAGTTTTAAAAATTTTGCTTAATACTAAATTTAAATGACTATTATTACGTTTAATTTGTTTTTCATTTCTTATCAGATATTTTTTTAATGAATCTGGGTCATTTCCCTCCAGTGCCTGTTCCGCCTAGGTCATTTCCGCCCAGGTAATATCTCCCCTAGGTCATTTCCATTCCTCACCTAGGTCATTTCACTCCATAACCTAGGTCATTTCACTCCAAAAAAGAATATTATCGGTTTATTTCGGGATATGAATGTTTTTACAAGTTATTTAATTATTTATTTCCATTAAAAAAAATATTTGCATTTTTAAACTAACATTTTTATGCTCCGCCATGAATATGGCCGGGGCATATAGTGTTTGTCATGTCCGTCTTCCGTCCTTCTGTCCTTTCGTCTGCCCTTCCGTCACACTTTGCGTTGAGCTCTGTTCAAAGCTCAGTTTCAAAGAAACTATCCAAGATATTTTTATTAAACTTCATGTGCTGATAGATATTGATGAAAGCTATGCAGCTGCATCAACATTTTTTGACCTTGACCTTTCTTTTGACCTTGACCTCACTTTTCTTAAATTAGTGTTTAGCTCAGTTTTAAAGATACCATTCAACATATTTTTAACAAACTTCATATGCTGATACATACTGATGAGAGCTATTCAACTGAATCAATATTTTTTGACCTTGATCTTTCCTTTGACCTTGACCTCACTTCTCTTAATTAAGTGTTTAGCTCAGTTTTAAAGAAACCATTCATAATATTTTCATCAAACTTCGTTTTTAATAAATTTTCTGTCGTAAGATGAATAGAGTGAAAGTGAAAAAAAAACCTATGTTTCGAATATCAGTGGTATGAAATAAACCGATAAAAGTAAATTTTTCATACATACCTGTGTATCTTCTTTATAATACTGATTTTGATTTATTTAAGAATGCATGTATATCTTGTAAATCTAAGTGCTTCTACAAACACACAATTTTATTATATACTGGGACGGTTAA